TATTTTTCCCAAAGATAGAACCAGATTTCAACAAAACAACTCAGTAAAATAAGGCACAATGTTTAACAAGGCAAAATCCACGCAGCAGGTTAGTTAGTACAAGATTACAATGTTTTGATGTGTGTGTATGGGTTAGGTACTCAAAGTAGCTTAAATTTTCCTTTTAGAGGATTTACTATTATAAGGCAATATTTAAATTTGATACAATAAACTATCTTATCAAGAAAAAACTTAGTTGGTGAATCATATTGGTAAATTAATTTGGCTTAATTTTAATTATATACTAAAAAGGTATTTCTAATTCACAAGATTTCAAATATTTAAAATTAAGAAATCAGATCATAAATAGTAATATGACCAAAGTAAAAGTCAATATATTTCAGTATCCACTGCTGATAATTTAAAGCCCCAAATTCTAAGAAAAGTTGAAATACTGGTTATTCTAAGTTTCTTCCATTACATTTTTCTCATGAATACAAAGTGAGTTCCACATGTGACGAACTTCAACACAAGTTTCTGCATGATTGTTGTACAGTGACTGTGAGTTAATATTCTTTTTCAACAAGACATCAATGTTGACCATTTAAAGTAGTGAAAAGATTCTCTTACACATCAATTATAGATAGCATCAACAAATTTATGCTTTTCAATACCAGCAACGGCAGTGTCTATCTTATCCCAGCTGCTTGACCTAGCTGGAATTTTGAAAAAGTGGTTTTATCCAATTTATTCACAGCCAAAGGAACAATGTCATCTCTGGTGGATGCAGATGGTCTTTCTGTCATGTTTTTTGGGTATGATAGTGTATAAATAACTTTCAGTAATCCCATAATTTTAACACATGCTAGATTGAGTACTTTTCCTGACATCACTTATTGAGACTGACCAATGCTGCTAGGTGACAGATGGTAGCATCCAAATCAGTATTACCTGTGTTAATAATGCATAGTGCCTGTTAGTGAATTTTTACTTCAATTATGAGTAAATACGGGCCAAAGGAATACAAAAAATAGTTTACATGTAAAAATGTTAAAACATCTCCCCTTCTTTCAACTTATACCATAAAGAAAACCACTGACGAAACAAGCTAGACCTCACAGTGACAGTATCTTCATATGATGCCGTACATACATATAGATTGAAGCTGGTTAGAACTGCTGTTATGTTTGGAGGTATCAGATAAATTCTTAAAATAAAATATTATATAAGAAAATACATCTTTCACCGATTTTATTTCAGGGCCCTGATCCTATGGCTTTGACCTCCGATAACAGTATACTGAGGTTCCCTCTCTGGAAGACCAACACTCATACACTGGGTCATGTTTAAGGTAAAGGGATCTCTCAGGATTGCAGTCTTTCTCCCTCAAGTCAAATGCAAAAGATCACGAGGCTCTTAAACAACTTACAAAATTATATTGCTTCCTAAATTCTGGGTTTAGAGTGAAGAATTTAAGGCACTTACTCTCACCATAAATGAAGACATTGGCATCTTTTAAAATATCACAACTATAATGAATATACAAAATTATATGCTATTAAGTTCATTTGTGCTATATAGGGTTTAAAGCTTAATATTGAGATGCTGATGGACAAGTACTTCTCTTCTATGCAGAAGAAATTGGTCATGCTGCCTAAAAACCTACACAATAGCCTTTACTGTGTTAAATGCCCAGCACAACCTAAAAGCTCACTATTCTGGACAAAATGGGGAGTAACATTTACAATGACATAATAAAATCTCTACAGGGGATCATTTAGGTGAAAATTAGGTATTTTAAACTAAATGCAGCTAAACTAATTTTATATACATATTATGGCAAAATTTTGTCTACACGGGGTGATATGAAAATTTGGAGAATAATCATTTAAAAAAAATCTAAATAGCTACTGCTAAAATGCCTTAAAAGATAAAACTTTATTTCCAGTATTTGCTTAATTTTTTTCTTTTTAACATACTGAAAGGATAAACATTAACCAAGGCTACCAGCCACATCACAAATTCCAGGTTAATGAGGGTCTACTTTCTCTCTTTGGGAACAGCAAGGTTAGCAATAAGAAAATGCCATTGCTTTCTGACTCTTTATTATGGAGAGTGGTGGACAATCTCCCAGGAGTAGCAGATACTGAATAAACCTAGTGACAAAGGCTTTTAGAAGGTAGTCATTGGGCCACTTAATACTCTTAAAATAATTCACTAGTATTCTAAAGGGCTTTCTTGGCTCAGGGATATCGCTGAGTGTAATTCTTCTCTTCTTTCAAGTTGGGAGTGATGGTGCATACCTATAATCCCAGCTACCTGATGTAGAGGCAGAAGAACCACAAGTCTGATACCAGCCCATGTAAAGCTGGAGAGACCCTCTCTCAAAAACAAAAAGCAGAAGTGCTGGGGCCGGTTGTGGCTCAAGTATAAAACAGTTGCCAAGCATATCCAAGGCTCTGGGTTCAACCCCAAGCACTGTGGGAAAATTTCTTTCTTCTTTTCTGTTTAAACCTGGTATTTACAATGTCTAGTAAAACTGAGCTGCAGTGTTATACTGCTTTGTTGTGTGTTTCCTATTACTTATATTTACATTAAAAATTTCGTATTTGAGGTACAATTACTTTTAAATTTGCTAACTTAAATTTTTAAATATCAAGATGTTTAGAACAAGTGACATCTATGACACACATGTAGAAGTAAAATATGAAGCTGGGTTTGGGGGTGCAGGTTTATAATCCCAGCAGTTGGGAAGCTGAGGCAGGAGGGTCACAAGTTTGAGGCCAGCCTGGGCTACTCAGCAAGACTTATGACTCAAAAAACAAAATAAAATAGAAGGTGCAAAATATGAACAGCCACCCTTGGGTTATTCAAATACAGGGCACAGTGAGAACCCTGATGAGTTGGTCCTTATGTCCATCAATCCCTAGCACCACGGAATGAAAACATCACCTGAGCTAATTTTCCTATTCTTGAGGTGATGTGAGAGAAGTGGATCCCAGAAATAAACACTCCTAAGAATGTCCATTCCACTTTCAAATATTAGCATTGAAGAACTTTAGTCTACATACAGTAACACTTTAAGTGGTTTTTTTCTACAGAAGTTTTGTTCCCTAAAATCATCCACGTGGAGCAATTCAAAAAACTTACTTTGATTTCTAGCACTCGGGAGGCTGAGGCATGAGGATCACAAGTTCAAGACCAGCCTGGGCTACTTAGTGAAACCCTGTCTCAAGAAATGAAATAAAAGAAACTTTATCTCATTATGAAAATTAAACTTTGTTGATTTTGTAAATCTCTTCTAAAAAACCAAAGTCCATTAACTAGATAAAACAAACATGACTCAGCAACTAAAGAGACAAACTACCATTTAAAATACATTGCCTGATATTTGACTTGGGAGGGATTATCTGATTATCTGGCTTCTGAATGACCAAGTCCCTTGGATATTTTCTTCTGGTTAATTTCTACAATGATCAGAATGAAAACAGGGAGGATATGGAAAAGAAACAAGGACAATCTTAGAAATTATTCGTGTCCTTCTAACAGGTAAACTTAAAAATTAAAAAAAAAAGGATAAAACTAACAGGTATAATGTAGATTTCACTAAAAGTTACCAAAGACAGACCAGGTATGGTGGGTCATGCCTGTAATCCCAGCACTTGCGAGGCTGAGGCAGAAGGACTGTGAATTTGAGGCCACTTAAACTACACAGAGTTTTCTAGGCCCACCTGGGCTACATGGTGAGACTCTGTCTCAAAAAACAAACAGAAGTTACCAAAAACATGCAGGGGCTATAGCTCAACATACTTGCTTAGCATGTGCAGGCCCTGGGTTTGATCCAGCACCACACATACAAAAAAAGTTATGATAGTTGCATACTGATAGATTTTTAAAAAACTGTACATAACATTTTGCTGAAAGAACACTCCAGTGTTCATCTACGTTATATGGCACAGGCTAGAAAGAATTTCTGCTTGCAATTACTTACAGCTGTTAAAGATCAACCAGTAGAGCTTCTTTGTAGGAAGCTGGAAAGAGTAAGTAAGGTTAAGTGCTATATTTACATACCTACCTATTTATTTTACAAAGACTAATTCTTAAAAGATTGCTCAAACTGTAACTTAGGTCAAGTTACAGGCATGTTAAGTCAGAAAAACTTAGTCCTATCAATTTGAATACTTTACATTGTTTCCCATGAAAATGTTTCCTGCATCTTAACTAAGTCACTTATTACAAAGCGTTTTAGGTTTGACGGTAAGTCATCTTTACTTTTTGTACTTTTCCAGTCTGTAGCCTACAGTGGCTCACCTGAAGTAGGCAGATACCTTATTACTTCTATTTTATGATAGAATCACTTGTGTATTATTTTGTTAGGCAGTAAGTAACATTACTTCTATAGATAGAGGCAGAAATTTTCTAAATAAAAATAATAAAAAGAATCTTACACTATAACAAGGTAAAGGTAAGGGGATTCACTATAGCAGCGTTTCACAACTGCAGTCATGAAACTCTCATGGTGTTTCATGAATGAACACAAATAAACACACAAACCCTGAATTATCTACAGTATAATTTCTTCTAAAATAAAAAATATGTACAAAAAAACCTAACACACATATATATCATTATTATACGACACTTGGCTTTTAAGAAGTAGCATGCCTTTAAGAGATCATTTGATGTTCTGATGCAATCTGACTTGTACATTACTTTATACTTAACATTTGCCAACTAGCCATTATCATTGTAGCTTGGCTATCTAATGATTACTAGTAAGTGTTGTATACTTACAGTTGCACTATTAGTAAATGTTTGTTACATATTAAGCCAATAAGAATCTGTTAATTTCCAATAGCAATAAAATTTGTGAAATTTTTCTCCTATACCTTAAAGATACAAAATATTTAATGTTTTTTTTTCTATCTTATCAATACTTTATTTTCAAAGTGTTCCATAGAGTTTTGGAAACTTATTTTTATGTATGAACATAATTTCCTTGCTTCCAACTATATTTGGCTTTATTATGTTTATCTAGCATTAATTCTTTAAAATGTAGAGAAAGTAACTGAACAGATTGATCAAGATTGTGGCCTCTCAGTAAGTATAAAAGTGCCTTCCTTAAAAAGGATTAATTGCACATTGAAACAAACAAACAAACAGAAAGAGGTTAGATGGTCATGGGCTCAGAGTTAGATATACAGCTGTTTACCTCATTTTGTTAAAGCACATTTTAAAGTACTTTGCATAGTATGACAGGTTGTAGGTTGCTCTTGCATTATTTCTTGCGCATGTTTCTGTATCTTTGCTAGGATTAAGGCACTTTGACAGTCACTGCTAGATAACAGGTTAATAACAATGATATAGAACAAAGGAGAAGTGAAAAGTTTAAATATCCTATTTAAAAGTTACATTCTTTACTTCACCAGTTAGTTGGTCAGGAAGGTTTAAGTCCTATGTACCCACCCGTGAGTTTACATGAATAGGGAGGGCTGTAATGCAGAAATAAGGTAATGTAAGGAGAGGGCTCATTCTGTTAATGGTGTAGTGTGCAACCTAAACCCAAGGATAACCTGGCAATAATTAGGGCTTTGATAATTTCTTACTTTCTTCATCTCAACTGCCACACGTTCCATCACTCATGACCTATTATCCCACTGCTCTTCAGAATGTACATTCTGCTGTGTGATTTACAACTTGAGTAGAAATCACAGTCAACCAAATTTAAAACTGCTACTCAGAGTAAATTACAGTCAGAGGATCCAAAAATGGAACTGGACTTGTTCTTGAACAGGTAGATGAAACACAGAATGTTTTACATCACCCTGACTCTTTCATGGATGTGCAAAATTAAGACAATAGAGTTTCTAGCCAACTTCAACTCTGTTCTCTTTTCTAATCACCTTTCCTCAGTTTTTTAGTGTTTTGCAACATCCCGCACAGAATTCTCTTCAACCAAGAAGAACTTTCTGCATTCTGTGTGCGGCAACGCTGGCTTCGTCTTCTGAGTCAGATTCGCTCTGGGATGTGGAGCTATGCGAGGCAGAACTGCAGGGCGAAGAGCATTCTGGCGAACACAAGTAGTGCATAAGTGGGAGGCGGTACTTCCCACAGAAGTCCACAAACTTAATCTGTCTGACGCAGCAGTCAAAGTAGACTCCTAGAGGGGAAAGAACACAAATAATCAGAAGAAAGCAAAGACCACAGTGATTTTCAACACTTCCTTCAACGTTCTCTTTTGGGCATCTTAAGCAGAAGTAGTAGTTGCCTCTATAAAGCTGTGTATAGAATACTAGAAAGTCTTAGGAGTGGCAATCTGGCTGCAAAGAGAGGGCCAGGAGATTTATCTTAGGGAGCTGGGTCAGAGGATGCTGTTTCCTTAGGATCTTTTCTCTGGGTGAGCTGGAGTCTAGTGGCTGATGGAGGTTACAGGGTATCAATAGTGCCCCTTTTTCTATCCTCCAAGCTACCTCCTTGGCACTGCCCTACAATCTGGAGACTAAAATAAAACAAAATAAGCATGACTTTTAGTAATGATCTTAAATAAATAATTATAAAAAGACTTTCAGAAAAGAGATGGCATCCGTTCTTATGTACTGGGAAGGCAAAATTGAAAGAAAAAAACGCTGATATTTTTATAGGCTCTAAATTTACAGCTGCAAAGCTGATTCACTGATGATCTCCCTTGGTTCTCACATCATTATATATTCTCTGACAGAATATGGCTCCTAATTTGGTGCTCCTGAATTGTGGCCCTTCAGGAAAGGAGAAGTACAGCCAGAGCTGAGGGGAAAGCAAAGGTTGCTGTGCCTTGGGGCTCAAGCTGATCCTTAAAGAGACATAGCACCTCTCTAACATGCACAGGTCAAACCAATGGTTGCAGTATAACCAGACTGTGTGGAACTTTGGGTCCCACAATCTCTCTGGAGGGGAATCTCAACCTTTACACAATACCTAAGTTCCCCAATGCTATGTATTTATCACATAAGGGACCAAAATAAAAAGACATGGGTCAACCAAAGAAGAAATAATGATTTCTGCTGTTTTTTTTTCTTGGTACATCCACATTAATCTTTTATGGTATACTTGAAAAATTTATAAAGTAGACACATTCAATAAACTGGTCAATCAATAGACTGATAATAAATTCCCCAAACCATATAAGCTTCCTAAAAACAGATGGGAATAATAAAATAAAGCATTATGGAATCACTATGCAGCCAAAATAGTGCAATAATAGTGTGCAAGATCTTGGAATGTAAAAGAGAAAGTGGCTCACAAAATATACAGTTCAACAAGGAATTTCAAGGGGAAATCTCTAATGGTTCGTTTTATATATCTCAAATTTTAAACTGGTAATTTTTAAAGCATTTGTAAGTTAAACAGCATTTCAGTGCCCTAAAGAAGTCATTAAGAAATCATGTATGAGAGAAAGAGAGTTCTTGTAGAAGGCCATTTTCAGAAAAGGACAGGTTCAAAGCAGACTACATTTAGACCATTAGGCCTGAAGACCTGGTGTGAACTTGACCTGTGCTTCCCTGTCACTGCTAAAGCCAATTCAGGAAAGGAGACCCCAGAGAAAATTTATGCACTCATTATTTGACACAGCACTGCAACCTCTACTTCTAAGACTGGGTGACCATAAATAGCCAAGAGTATATCTTTCTTTTTTAAACCCAAGGTGTCTTTTTTTTTTTACTCTTGTAACAATCTTTGGGAAATTTAATTGTTTTCCCTTTTTCACCTCATAACAGTTTCAATACAAGATGAAACTTTCAGGAAAAATCTCACATTATTTTGATCATCATTATACAACATTCCCTTAGTACTTACATTTATCTTCAACACTAAAACCTTCCTACACCTTCCATTAAAATAAGACTTCTTAAAACGTAGTATTTTATGAGGAAGTCAAAATAAAATGACCACCTATCAGTCACCAGTTCCTACCCAAACACCCTGGAACTTCAGGTCCTACACAACATGGCTTTATAGAACCATTCACTCTCTCATTTCTCCTTACTGCCTTAACTATAACGGTTGAGCCAAGTTGTCACTTACCCAACCCTCCACCCCACACTGTTCTGTCTCTACTTTGCTCTGTACATGTGAAGTGTTTCCCATCCTCAATCCTACCCTCCCCAATTCTAACTCATCCCTCAAGAGTTCTGACATCTTTTCCAGATCTAAGTAAGTAGACTGGCCTCCCTTAGTTTCCAATAGCACTTTGAATTCTTTGGGATACTTAAATTACTCTGCACCATAGTATATCATTTGTTTAATTCTTTCAAAAGACCTAAACTCAAATTTTGAACCATGGATTTAAAAGAATACAAGGTTCTGGGGTACATTCTGAAACTGGCATGCATTCAGCCAATTTTCATACATCTTTAACCATGCTCTATAAAAGTATCTGATACAAAGAATGATGAGGCTTGTGTCCAAGATGGCGGCTAGAAGGAGGAAGCAGAAAGCAGGCCTCCTAAAGTAAAATCTTGGAGAGACACTGGAGATATACCTTACAGGAAAAACCACCCAGAAGAGGCAGAACTTTGACTCCTCCACACCTCCAGCCTGCGCATAGCATCTCCACTTCACATTAAACAGAGAAACCAGGAGGGCTCCTGAGCTGCCGCCAGACGGCAGCACCCAGACGGCTTGGGAAGATGCAGACCACAAAGTGAGCTAAGCGGGATGTGGTACTCCCACAGACAACCCTGGGCCAGATCAGCCCAGGTCTGTCCGGGGTTGACTGACCCCCACCCAGGGGAAAAAAACCAAAAAAAAAAAAAAACCTGAATAATAAGCAATAACAACAAAAAGACAGGTAGCAAAGAGGGTGGGACGTCCTGAGTGCTGAACAGGGGGGAGAGGGGAATCCCTCACAAGCCAGCTGCAGATGGCAGAAGCGGTGGCACACACCCAGCAACCAGGAGCAGGAAAGCTTGTAAAAGTGGTGGTGGGAGGAAAACTCCACAGGAGAGGGGGGAAGACCCTCTCTTCCCACATAAGCTGTAAATAAACACGCAGGCTTGAGAAAGCGGGTGCAGTGTCACCTCCCCCAGTGTGCTTGGAAAGGGAAAAGCTTGTAGCAGTGGCATCGCACCCAGGAGAATTCTAAGTAAACAAAGCCTGAGGGGCTAGGCGAGTGTTAAGCTCACTCCTGAGATGTGCATAAATAAAGTCTCCAGCAACAGCTGGATGACAGCAGCAGACAGGTGAGCCACAACCTCATACAGCCATTCACAGAACTGTCTCCAGACTCTTTTTTTTTCTCCCTACCTTTGATGACACAACACTGAACTACACCTGCATGCTGAAAAACTTATTGACACTGTATTGCATTTGAACTTGGGACACTTTGTGGTGTTTTTTTTGTTTTGTGCTGTTTTGTTTTTTTTTAGTTTTTGTTCCCTTTTGATGAGACAACGATAGAACTACTACTGAGACACCATCTCCAGGATTGGGGGCTGAGGGACTAACACCAAAATTATTAAGACTGAAACTTTATTGAATTTGAACTTGGAGATTTATATATATATTTCATTTATATATTTTTTATTTCAATCCACTCTCTGTCTCTCTAATGCCTGTTCTGCTTACTGTTGATTAGTACACTATCTCTCCCTGTTTATATCTTTGAAACTTTTTTTGTTGTTTTTCTACTTGTTTGTTTTTCCCTTTTTCTTTAACTTCTTTGCTTTCCATCTCCTCTCACCCTTCCATTCTAAATATCACCATTGTTATTATTACAAGCTAGAAAATACTTAATTGCACACAGTACAGGGACAGTAACAACACCAAGGGCAATGACAGGAAGACAGAAAAAACAGGGAAACCAGTTTCCCCACAGCAAAAAATTAGTACAGGAACCAGAGGAGAATGAAGAAAACAGATACTCAGATCCAGACTCCAACAAAATGAAGATAAACTATGCCAAAGAACCCAATGAAGCTCACAAGAATAATCTAAAAGAAGAAATACTACAGGTAATCAATGAGAATTTTATAGAGATGATACTGGATAGGGTCAACCAAAATGTACAGGAGACACTCAAGAAATTCCAAGACAACAAAAATAGAGAATGTGAAAAAGCACAAGAAGAAATAAAAGAAACCACAGAAGCACTGTATACACACCAAAGTGAAACAAAGAACATGATTAATAAAGAGATAAATGAACTCAGGACAAAAATAGACAACATTAAAGAGGAAACCACCCAGGATATGGAAAACCTCAGAAAAAAGAACGAAACAGAATTGCAAAACAAAATGGAAGGCCAATCCAGCAGAACAGAACAAACAGAAGACAGAATCTCAGAACTTGAAGATGAGATGGTAATTAAAGGAAAACCCAAGAACTATTAGTTAAACAACTCAAGACCTGTGAAAAGAAAATGCAAGAACTCACCAACTCCATCAAAAGACCAAAACTGAGAATCATGGGCATCGAAGAAGAAGAGGTGCAAGCAAAGAGAATGAGTAATATATTCAACAAAATAGTAACAGAAAATTTCCCAAATCTAGAGAAATCTATTCCCATACAGATGCAAGAGGCCTCCAGAACACAAAAGAGACCAGATCAAAAAAGAACTACCCCATGGCATATCATCATTAAAACAACAAGTTCAGAAACTAGGGAAAGAATACTGAAGGCTGTAAGAGAGAAAAAATAAATAACATACAAAGGTAAACCCATCAAAATCACAGCAGACTTCTCAACAGAAACATTAAAAGCAAGAAGAGCTTGGGGTGAGGAATCTCCAGGGACTGAATGAAAATAACTTCACCCCAGGAACTTACCCAGCAAAAACTATCACTTCAAACCATAGATGGAAGCAATAAAAGTCTTCCATGACAAGCAGAAACTAAAACAATAGGTGACCACAAAGCCACCATACAAAAGATTCTTCAGGGATTCTGCAACACAGAAAGTGAAACCCAACATAACCAGAAACGGGGGCAGGCAGCAACCAAACTACAGGAAAAGAGAAAGCAAGAAAGAGAGAGTAACCTCAACTTAGGTACACAACAATCAAACCTTCAAACATTACTAAGACACTAAATGACAGAATCACCACATACTATCAGTACTAACACTTAATGTAAGACTTAATTCCCCCATCAAAGAGGCACCATTTGACGAAATGGATTAAAAGGAAAGATCCAACAATTTGTTGCTTACAGGAAAGACCCATCTCAACACAGAAATAAGCATAGGCTAAGGCTGAACAGGCTGGAAGATTTACCAAGCCAATGGGCCCCCCCGAAACAAGGCAGGAGTAGCATACTTATCTCTGACAAAGTAGACTTCAAACCTACATTTGATAAAAGATAAAGAAGGACATTCCATACTAATAAAAGGGGAAATAGACCAAAGGAATAATAATTATCAACCTATATGCACCAATGTCAACGCACCCAATTTCATCAAACATACCCTGAAAGACCTAAAAAGCATATAAACTCCAACACAGAGGTTGTGGGAGACTTTACACCCCACTATCATCAATAATAGGTCATCCAAAACAAAAAATCAATAAAGAAATCCAAGATCTAAAATATACAATAGATCAAATGGACCTACTTGATGTCTACAGAAGATTTCATCCAACTCTACACAATATACATTCTTCTCAGCAGCCCCAGAATAGAAAGGGAAGGAAAACTGCCAAACACATTTTATGAAGCCAGTATTACACTATCCAAAACCAGGCAAAGACACCTCCAAAAGGAGAACTATAGGCCAATCTCCTTAATGAACACTGATGCAAAAATCCTCACAAAATAATGGCAAACCGAATTCAACAACACATCAAAAAGATTATTCACCACGACCAAGTAGGCTTCATCCCAGGGATGCAGGGGTGGTTCAACATACAAAATCAATAAACGTAATAAACCACATTAACAGAAGCAAAGACAAAAACCACTTGATCATCTCAATAGATGCAGAAAAAGCCTTTGATAAGATCCAACACCATTTCATGATAAAAGCTCTAAGAAAACTAGGAATAGAAGGAAAGTACCTCAACATTATTAAAGCTATATATGACAAACCTACAGCCAGCATTATACTTAATGGAGAAAAACTGAAACCATTCCTCTAAAATCAGGAACCAGACAAGGATGCCCACTATCTCCACTCCTATTCAACATAGTACTGGAATTCCTAGCCAGAGCAATTAGGCAAGAAGAAGGAATAAAAGGAATACAAATATGTAAAGAAACTGTCAAAATATCCCTATTTGCAGACGACATGATCCTATACCTTAAAGACCCAAAAAACTCTACTCAAAGCTTCTAGACTCATCAATAGCTATAGCAAGTAGCAGGATATAAAATCAACATAGAAAAATCATTAGCATTTCTATACACTAATAATGACAAACTGAAAAGAATATATGAAAACAATTCCATTTACAATAGCCTCAAAAAAAATCAAATACCTAGGTGTAAACCTAACAAAAGATGTGAAGACCTCTACAAGGAAAACTATAAACTTCTGAAGAAAGAGATTGAGGAAGACTATAGAAAGTGGAGAGATCTCCCATGCTCATGGATTGGTAGAATCAACATAGTAAAAATGTCTATACTCCCAAAGTAATCTACATGTTTAATGCAATTCCCATCAAAATTCCAATGACATTCATTAAAGAGATTGAAAAATCTACTTAAATTATATGGAAACACAAGAGGCACGAATAGCAAGGCAATACTCAGTCAAAAGAACAATGCAGGAGGTATCACAATACCTGACTTCAAACTACAATTAAAACAGCATGGTACTGGCACAAAAACAGACATGAAGACCAGTGGAACAGAATAGAGGACCCAGATATGAAGCCACACAACTATAACCAACTTGTCTTTGACAAAGGAGCTAAAAATATACGATGGAGAAATAGCAGCCTCTTCAACAAAAACTGCTGGGAAAACTGGTTAGCAGTCTGCAAAAACTGAAACTAGATCCATGTATCACCCTATACCAATATTAACTCAAAATGGATCAAGGATCTTAATATCAGACCCAAACTCTAAAGTTGATACAGGAAAGAGTAGAAATACTCTGGATTAGTAGGTATAGGTAAGAACTTTCTCAATGAACCCCAGCAGCACAGCAACTAAGAGATAGCATAGATAAATGGGACCTCATAAAACTAAAAAGCTTCTTCATCAAAAGAAATGGTCTCTAAACTGAAGAGAACACCCACAGAGTGGGAGAAAATATTTGCCAGCTACACATCAGACAAAGGACTGATAACCAGAATATATAGGGAACTTAAAAAACTAAATTCTCCCAAAACTAATGAACCAATAAAGAAATGGGCAAGTGAACTAAACAGAACTTTCTCAAAAGAAGAAATTCAAATGGCCAAAAACACATGAAAAAATGCTCACCATCTCTAGCAATAAAGGAAATGCAAATTAAAACCACACTAAGATTCCACCTCACCCCTGTTAGAATAGCCATCATAGCAACACCACCAACAACAGGTGTTGGCGAGGATGCGGGGAAAAAGGAACCCTCTTACACTGTTGGTGGGAATGTAAACTAGTACAACCACTCTGGAAAAAAATTTGGAGGCTACTTAAAAAGCTAAACATTGATCTACCATTTGATCCAGCAATACCACTCTTGGGGATATACCCAAAAGACTGTGACACAGGTTACTCCAGAGGCACCTGCACACCCATGTTTATTGCAGTATTCACAATAGCCAAGTTATGGAAACAGCCAAGATGCCCCACACTGACGAATGGATTAAGAAAATGTGGTATCTATACACAATGGAATTTTATGCAGCCATGAAGAAGAACGAAATGTTATCATTCGCTGGTAAATGGATGGAATTGGAGAACATCATTCTGAGTGAGGTTAGCCTGGCCCAAAAGACCAAAAATCGTATGTTCTCCCTCATATGTGGACATTAGATCAAGGGCAAACACAACAAGGGGATTGGACTTTGAGCACATGATAAAAGCGAGAGCACACAAGGGAGGGGTGAGGATAGGTAAGACACCTAAAAAACTAGCTAGCATTTGTTGCCCTTAACGCAGAGAAACTAAAGCAGATACCTTAAAAGCAACTGAGGCCAATAGGAAGGGGACCAGGAACTAGAGAAAAGGTTAGATCAAAAGAATTAACCTAGAAGTAACAACACACACAGGAAATCAATGTGAGTCAATCCCTGTATAGCTATCCTTATCTCAACCAGCAAAAACCCTTGTTCCTTCTATTATGCTTATACTCCTCTACAAAAAATTAGAATAAGGCAAAATAGTTTCTGCAGGTATGGGGGGGAGAGGAGGGGGCGGAGTGGGGGTAAGGAGGGGGTGGGGAGGGGGAGAAATGACCAAGCCTTGTATACACATATGAATAATAAATAAATAAATAAATACATACATAAAACAAAGAATGATGAGTCTAAGAAAATGTCCTTAAATAAATATGAAAAGTGTCCAAACATTTGAGAAACTCTCTTAGCAAACAGGACTGCTTATGTTTCCTTTCATTTTATCATATAATATTCCCAGACAGGATGACAGCTCCTGGATATCTTCCTTGTGTATGAAGCCAGAAATATTATGAAACGAATTTAAAAACAAAAAGGAAGGAAAAAAGTTAAGAAGGAAGGGCGACTTAGAGGGTGAAATGTCTTACTTTCTGGTAATTGCCTTTTTCTGAATGAAGTCTTTCCTAATTAAAACAATACTTACGTCACTAAATTATAAAAATGCCTAAATGAGCACAAAACATGAACATCTGAGTTTACTTACCTCCACATTTTGGGTTTGGGCAATTGCTGGCTGAACTCAAGTATTTAAGAAGATTCCCAGGAAGATCATAGGGAGTGTAAGAAATATTTCGAATCTTAATGGTCCGTGCAGCTAATTCCAGGAGAGTTGGAGGGTCATAGGTTAAATCTCTAACAAAACGAACAACCAATGGGTTTCCTCGTAAACTCAATTCTTCCAAATGAATAAGGTTGAGGATCTCTCGAGGCAGGTATGTCAGCAAGTTATTGTGGAGACTGAGGGAACGAAGTGAATGCAACCTAGAATGAATGCAGTACAAAAATCACTGGCCGTGTGCAACCTAATCCCCTAGAAAGCTAAGTTTACACATGTGCGTGAGTGTGTCTCTGTGTGTACAGTCTGAGCTCCCTGTGAGAATGAGCAAAGAAGATTAAGGTCAATAAAGGAAAACAAAAGGTGCTGCAACCAGGTCTGTGTGCATCGTTATAAAGGCCATGGAAGACTTCTGACCCTGGAATCCTGGAGCACTTAAGACTGCTCAGAGAGTGTTCTGATGTCCCACCTGAGAGAAATGCTGAGTTTTAAGATGTGGGGGGCATCCATTATCACTCAGATACCTAAGGAAGGAAAGATTTCAGATGCAACAGGAGTGAAGATCCTTTATGTTACAAAGTCTCATTAGGGTAAGAGCTTGAATGACCAAAAGTCCCTCCAAATCCAGGGAAGCCTATGCCAAATTAATAATCTTATTTTTGAAGCATAAATCAGAGCACTGAAAAGTAAAATTAAAAATAACTCAACTCACAGCAAATTCCAGAGCTATAATCATACCATTTTATTTGAAAATATCTAATTGTTTTCTTTTCTTTCTTTCTTTTTTTTTAAAGACACGGTCTCACAATGTAGCCTAGGTTGCCCTCAAACTCGAGATCCTCCCGCCTTTATCTCCTGATTACAGGGATTATACGCATGTACCACCATGCCTAGCTTCAAATTCTTTTCTATATACAAAACATGTGAGGCTGGGAATGATGGTGCAGGTCTGTAGCCCCAACCACTTGGGAGGCAGAGGCAGGGGGATGGCGGTTCGGGACCAGCACAGGTAAAAGTTAACAAGACCCTCTCTCAACAAACAAGCAGGACATGATGGCGCATGCCTGCTAGGCAGGAGGCAGAGGGAGGAGCATTAAGGTATGAGGCTGGCCCCAGGCAAAAGTGTGAGACCCTATCTGAAAAATAAACTAAAGCAAAAAAGGTTGTGGTTCAAGTAGTGGAGCTTGCCCAGCAGGCTGAAGGCCCTGAGTTCAATCCCTAGTATGCCCTCCCCCCAAAATAAAGCAAAACAGTGACAGAATGCAAGACAATAATTCCTAAGCATGTCTGTGTATAGACAAACTGAAATACTCACTGTGCAAGCTGAGGAGGCACACTTTGGATTTTGTTGTCACACAATACCAAATAATTCAAAGAAGGCAGATTTGCTAATTCTGGTGGGATTTCTTTGATGAAGTTTCCTCCAAGATACAAACACTCTAAACTGCAAAAGTAAATGAACAGAAGGAAAAAAGTAAATAAATGTAAGTTGGACAAAGTGATCATCTATTGTCTCTACTACAGTGAACATAGTCGTATATTCATTCAGCAATGTTTTACTTAGAATTTGCTCTAGAGAAATAATCCGGTCTTCAGGAAGTACATACCATAGCTCAGCAATCAAGACGCACCAATGTTAGACGATATTGTAATTAAGTACAAAATAAATCCAAAATTATGTGATTAAAACACCAAAATAAGAGGAACAATTTACAAATGAGCTGGAAAGGAGAAACAGCCACAGCAGCTCTGACTGGAAAAGGTTTTCCAAAGTGGTGTGAGTTCAGCTGAGCTATGAACTTAGCCATTTAGATGGGAAGTGAGAGGAGACTTCAGGGTGGAGGAGAGGGCTTTCAGGGGCTCAGGAGGTACCTGTTTTAAGGAAAAAAGAAAATCCTAGAGGAATGCAGATAAAGGCTAGAGAGGCCAGGTTACAGGAACCCCAAATTCCACACAGTGTGCTTGGGTTTGATGCATTAACGGGCAATGGGAAAACCAGTTTTGTTTTGTTTTTTAAAACAAGCAGAAAACCATGTCTAAAGTCTCTACAATTCTTCTTTTTCTTATTATAGCAAATACATCCGTCAGAGGCTGTCTGAATAAATAATCTATAAAACTGACCACTTACATGAAGTTAAAGTTCCAGATAATTTTCCTGCTTACTAAGAAATACACAGTTTAGACATAGCATGTATTACACCAAATGTAATGCTACTCTCTGATCACTGCAGAAGGGCTCCTTCAAAAAGGTTTTTTTTTTTTTTTTATGGGGTGGCAGACTCACTTTTCACAATATACATGAAAATAAATAATAGGTATGCTCCAATATACATTGACCTTTTCCTAACTATTATTTTTATCTTGTTATTCTGCTGCTGAATAAAACTATTACTTTTAAAAAATATCTTTAAAGTGTGAGAAAAAAGCTTACAAAACTGTTATGCAAACTTCCAAGGTCAGAATTCCTTGGGATGCTTTTAAAGCTACTTTACAGCTATCCAGATACTCCATATTAGAGTTGTAGGGGAGGGGCCTGAGGAGTGACAGGTTTTATGGTGCGAGGTATAATTTTAACAGGTAAAATCAAGTTGTCCTGCAGAACTGTGGTTATTTACAAATCCATAACCAGCATTTGAGAGCAGTCCTTACCCCATAACCTTGCCAGCACTTAGTATTATCACCTGCTAGAATTTTTTACAACAATTTGATAGTGTAAAAAAATGGTACCATTCTACACCTCCAATACGCAGATCTGTTGTTCCATTATCACTAGTGACATTTAATATATTTTGGCCACTTGTACATCTTTAAAGAATTTCCTGTTCATATCATTGACCCATCTCTCTCATGGGTTAGATGAGTTTTATTCATTCATTTGTTGTGAGCTTGTTGCCAAATATACATTCTGGATAACTTTGTTCCTTTGTGGTCTAACTTTTGTTCATATTTTATTTGTATTTAAAGATGCTTATTGAGCATGTTTAAAGATGCCTATTGAGCGTGTAAAGTGAGAAATTCAAAAACTATAGTTTCTCTTATTATTTTCCCTTCTTCCCTTTGGAGCTGTAAATTTTTCTCTCAATATATAGATGCTATCCTGTGTATACTCAAGTTCTTGACTTCTAAAACTTCTTGAAGTGTTCCTTAAGAATTTAAATCTTTCAGATGTTTCATATGAAACACTTTCTTTGTTCCTTTAAATCCATTTTCCTGAAATGCATTTCCTCTGATTATCAAGACTGCCTTCAGGTTTCTGGGTATGTTTGTTGGTCTTGCTGTTATTTTGTTTTGTGTTTTTGATGCAGAGTCTTACTATGCAGCCTAGGCTGGCCTGCAATTCTTGATCCTCCTGCCACTGCCTCTGGAGGTGTTGGAATTACAGAATGTACCCACATGCCTGTTTTTAGTTTGTTTTTGTTATATTTATATCACTCAGCTCCACTTCTACCACTTACTAGTATAAAAATGTGAGCTAGTTATTTGCTTCCTTGTCTTTAAAATGGAGCAATATTATTATATGGTATATAAAATGCCTTGTCAACAAATACAAACTAACACCTACCATGTGCCCTGTGCCATTCCAGGCCCACATAGTGTAACCCACAGTGTAAATATGATCAAGGTGTTGATCTGAAGAAGGAATCTTGCATTCTAGTATGAGGATACATGCATGTCTCTTATGGCAGAGAGTTTTAAGTGCTGTAAGGGAAAAGGGAGGTAACCAAGTGGTGATGGAGGTGGATCTTCAGACAAGGTGGTCAGGGAAGGTTTCTCTTAGAGTATGCCATCTGAATGTAGATCTGTAAGAAGCAATCTCCGAGCCCCTGAGATGGAAAACTGGTGTGTTGTGAAGTCTCATCAGAGATGGTGTGGGTAGATGAGACAGAGGTAGGAATGTGTAGTCAGAGGTTACAAGCGGTGGTCTGGGAGGGCCAGATCACAAAACCTTTTAATGATTTTGAATTTTACCCTAGGTAGGATGGGTTTTGAACAAAGGCTAGTTGTATCACTTGACTCACATTTTAAAAGGATCACACTTAGCTGGAGAAGGGATGCAGAGGTAGTCTGGAGCTCAAAGCAGTTCAGATGCTGGGGACATAACTCAAGACTAGCAAGGCTTTGAGTTCAACCCCCAATACTGCTTGAAAACAAATCAAAGCAGTTCAGATGAGAAGCCACACACCTGCCCAGTTTATCTTCTTCTATGCTTTTGCTTTTAATTCACTGGTGTATTTTTAAGTATAACTCTTGTAAACAGGGCACAAGAGTTCTCTACTGCAATGGTATGTGTCAGTGTTTGTCTTTTTGCTTTCACTTCTACCTACTGTTGCTCAGCTTCCTTTTGTTGTAGTCCTCCTACTCTTTTGAGTTGTATGTGCTATTTTTATTTTGTTTTTCCACTCCCAAACACACAACCATGCTCCACTCCTTTTGTTCTTATAACTTTCTACCAATTTATTGTTGAGAAATAAATTTATTTTTAACCAGCCATTATCCATATTTATCAAAATTTTTTTTTTACTGATTTCTTTGTTCACCACTGTTTCTAATATTCCTTTAAATTCACTTTTCTTGAACTATACTCTTTGCAGATTCCTTCAGCAAGAACTCATTGAGTCTTTTGGTTCCTTTGTCTCTCTTCAATATTTGGTTGGCTGGGCATGACATTCCAGGTGGGTGACCACTTTTCCTTAGCACCAGGAAGATGCTGCTTCCTTAATCACATTACAAATATCAGACCCCAAACTCTTAAGTTGATACAAGAAAGAGTAGGAAATACTCTGGAGTTAGTAGGTATAGGTAAGAACTTTCTCAATGAAACCCCAGCAGCACAGCAACTAAGAGATAGCATAGATAAATGGGACCTCATAAAACTAAAAAGCTTCTGTTCATCAAAAGAAATGGTCTCTAAACTGAAGAGAACACCCACAGAGTGGGAGAAAATATTTGCCAACTATACATCAGACAAAGGACTGATAACCAGAATATACAGGGAACTTAAAAAACTAAATTCTCCCAAAACTAATGAACCAATAAAGAAATGGGCACGTGAACTAAACAGAACTTTCTCAAAAGAAGAAATTCAAATGGCCAAAAAACACATGAAAAAATGCTCACCATCTCTAGCAATAAAGGAAATGCAAATTAAAACCACACTAAGATTCCACCTCACCCCTGTTAGAATAGCCATCATCAGCAACACCACCAACAACAGGTGTTGGCGAGGATGCGGGGAAAAAGGAACCCTCTTACACTGTTGGTGGGAATGTAAACTAGTACAACCACTCTGGAAAAAAATTTGGAGGCTACTTAAAAAGCTGGACATGATCTACCATTTGATCCAGCAATACCACTCTTGGGGATATACCCAAAAGACTGTTACTCCAGAGGCACCTGCACACCCATGTTTATTGCGGCACTATTCACAATAGCCAAGTTATGGAAACAGCCAAGATGCCCCACCACTGACGAATGGATTAAGAAAATGTGGTATCTATACACAATGGAATTTTATGCAGCCATGAAGAAGAACGAAATGTTATCATTCGCTGGTAAATGGATGGAATTGGAGAACATCATTCTGAGTGAGGTTAGCCTGGCCAAAAGACCAAAAATCGTATGTTCTCCCTCATATGTGGACATTAGATCAAGGGCAAACACAACAAGGGGATTGGACTATGAGCACATGATAAAAGCGAGAGCACACAAGGGAGGGGTGAGGATAGGTAAGACACCTAAAAAACTAGCTAGCATTTGTTGCCCTTAATGCAGAGAAACTAAAGCAGATACCTTAAAGCAACTGAGGCCAATAGGAAAAGGGGACCAGGAACTAGAGAAAAGGTTAGATCAAAAAGAATTAACCTAGAAGGTAACACCCACGCACAGGAAATCAATGTGAGTCAATGCCCTGTATAGCTATCCTTATCTCAACCAGCAAAAACCCTTGTTCCTTCCTATTATTGCTTATACTCTCTCTACAACAAAATTAGAAATAAGGGCAAAATAGTTTCTGCTGGGTATTGAGGGGTTGGGGGGAAGAGGGAGGGGGCAGAGTGGGTGGTAAGGGAGGGGGTGGGGGCAGGGGGGAGAAATGACCCAAGCCTTGTATGTACATATGAATAATAAAAGAAAAATGAAAAAAAAAATCACATTACAGCAATAGCACTACTGTTCCCGTAGGTGGTCTGTTTTGCTTTTAGAACTTACTTTAATTTAAAGCTGAATCTGCTTTAAGCAATTCAGAACTTACGAAATGCTAAATTCTGCAATTTTCCATTGAATATTTTTGGACCATGGTTGATCTTAAGTAACTGAAACTCAGGAAAGGGAGAGCTAAAGGGGAATACTGTGCATTTCTTCATTCTACTTGTTTCATAGATGAGGTTCCTTCCTCTACCTCTCTGAAGTTAGGAAACATCTATTTTAAAGTCCTTTACTGATAGC